AAAAAAAAAAAAAAGAATCTGAGAGTCCAAAAAAGTAAAACTGAGATATGTACCAGTATAAAGATGTCAGTGCACAATGTAATGATTCACAAAAGAATTATCAATTTTGTTTATGAATAGGGGAAGTATTCCCAGAGAAAGCAACTGAGCTGTTTTCACAGCTGAATGGGGTGTAATGTGAATTCCAGATTTCATCCATGAGAAATAGTATGTACCGCTGCAAAGAGATAGGGAATGGTACTGAAGGTAGTCTGATGTAACTGGGGCACAAAATACAAAGAGGGTAGTAAAAAGTGAGGCTGGAGAGGTAGGCAAGGGCCTTATCATGGGAGAATGCCTTGAATAAATTTAGGGTGGGCAATAGTAAGACTTGCATTGTGGGGAATGGATTATAAATGAATGAGACTGAAGCTGGAGAAATCTTAGGAGACTAAGTGGGTAAAAAATGAGTAAGAGTGATAGTAGGAATTAAAATGAGATGAATTTAAGACATTTAGTAGCAAGAAATTAAAAATCTTAGGAAACAATTAGGTACATACACAAGCTTTGAAGGAAGGTAATTTCTTTTTTCTTAGCTGAGACATCCTGCCACCTGTTGGCAGCTCGGCTCAGGCTGGGAATCGAACTGCTGTTGCTCAGAGCTTGCACTCTTGAGCGAGCTCTTAACCAACTGAGCCACTTGGCCAGACCAAGGAAGGTAATTTTGATATAAGGTAAAGTAGCCTTCAAGTCATGAGGACTTATACATTGAGAGCATATGAAAATAAATATTGTATCCCAATTTGTTAAAACTCATTCATAATTCAGTACAGTTTTACTAATCATGAAAAAGAGTCACATGCAGTTCCCATCCTAAATGGATCAGAATCCAAATACTTTTCTAACTCATTACTCTTAAATTCATTTTGTGAAAAGTGATGTTATGAATTAAAGACTTCCAGGTTAGTTCACAAAAATTTTAACACAAGATACACATGCACTTACTACTAGTTAAATATATATTTTTAAAGAAATTATCTTTTGTGGCACCCAGTGGGTCCCAAACTAAGCTGCATATTAGAATCCCCTGGAGAGCCTTCAAAACTTTGATGGCCTGGTCTCATTCCATATTACTCAAGTCTCAATGTCTGAGTGTGAGAGCGAGGCATAGGCATACCTATGGGCTTAAAGGGAGATCAGTTGTTCAGGTAAATATTTTTTCTTCCAAAAATTAATAGTTTTTATTCTTGCCAAATGTCCTTTTATGGAGTTAAAATGATGATTAGTCTTAATTGGTAACTACAAAAATTCTAACTCTGAAATGCAACTGTTATCATTTTGGACATCATTTAAAAATCATTCTTTCTATAAATCATATTTACAAAACAGTCATAGAATACCTGCACTGGGGCTCTGTTCCACCATCTGAGAGATTTTATTCTTTGCAGAAGAATGTCTTGTTGGGCAAGGTTTTGCTCCAAATGTTGGAAATATGTCTGACCTACAATGAAACAAAGGAATTTCAATAAGCATTTAAGATCAAGAGCTGTTCAATATGCTTATATCACACATCTTATATATGAATACTAACTAAACTTAGGCAGCAACAAGTATGAAAAACTATGGACAAGAATATTTTTTATTGGTATTCCTAATTTACCTTTTGAATTTCCAACCTTTTTAACATATGGTTATTTCTTAATTATTCATGAGAGGATTGCTAAAGGCATTGAAGACTCTCCAACTTGTGCCGTATAATCTTTTGTTGGGTCAAATAACCAACTATATAATTCAAAGAGAATCCATTCAAAAACTAAACCAAATGATTCTATTATAGTTATCTAATATACTATCTATGTTCATATATAATATAAAAATAGAGACTTAACTATATTATCAATAAGAGAACAGAAGCAAGTGAGTTTAGTTGATGCCACTTTCTCCTTGGATTATCATTTGCTGTACTCTCCTGACTTTATAAAGTCCTACAAACCTTGTTTCACAAAGAAAGCCAACTGAAGAATGTTAACTTACTGTGAAGACACTGTTTTACATCAACAACTGTGTAACGTCAGTAAGTCCAATGATAAATATTATGAAGAAGAGAATTTACAAAGGAGTACAATTCTTAGTAATTGGGTAGGCATGTTTGTTAATTGGCCTCGTGAGAAATCAATGTTAAATATTTTAAAAGAGTAATTTCTCTAGAATAGATTACTGTAAATTTACATTTATACTCAGTATATTTGACTTGAATAAAACAAAATACTTCAATCTCTAGAAAAGTGGTACTCAATAATTTTTCCTCCCCAACTTTCTTAAGGATGAAAACCCCCCCCTTAGCAGCTTTTTTTGGCCATGATTCTTAAGGCAGCAGGCAAACTGGTTGAGAATAATTGCTCTAAAGCTAGTAGCTTAAATGTGGAAATACTAAATTCATTAAAGATAATTCAGTCCATAAATGAAGGTATATTGAACTCCCTTCTCACAGAGTTGAATATCTAAAGAGAATATCTCCATGAGACAATATAGGGAATAGTGAATTCTAAATGTTATAATATTAAGTGAAGTTTTCTTCCTAACTGGGTTCCAAATTATTTACAGAAACTTGCAACTGTAGGAGTACATAAAATTTCTCACTCATGGAACATAAGGGAAGGAAATTTAGGTGTAAAAGATAAATATATATATATATATAGATAGATATCTATCTATCTATATATACACTTTTTTTTTTAATTGGGGAATTGGGGGGATGGGAACAGTGCTGGGGAATTGGGGGAAGGGGAACAGACAAGTTGCTGTCATTTTGTTCTTCAGTCTAGTTGTGGAGGACGTTGCTTCACTGGCCCAATTTGGCACCATCATTGTGCTCTTCCCGGGAGAGGCAGCTCAGTCGCCAGCTTCTGGATGGCTGCTCACAGCGGCTGCTGGCCGCTCACGCTGGCTGCAGGCTACACACGGTAGCCCATGGCAACCCACTGCAGCAGGGGCTGCAGCCTATGCCGTCGCCAGAAACTCAAGGCAGCCCAGATCTGTTGATCAGCATCTTAGCTGTGGAGGGCAGCGTCATTGGCCCTCATATGTGGGATCCGAACCGGGGCCCTCTGGCATCCTAAGCCAGTTCTTAACCATTGCGCCGCTCAGCCGGCCCAATATATATATTTTAAATGTCTGGTAACTTAATGTAAAAATAGTTACTTCATCAACTCACATACCCATTTTAAATTCATTTTGTAAATATATTGCATTAGCCTACCTAGGTAATTATAACAAAGGAATTTCCAGTAAGAAAAAACCTCCAACTGTAAAATAAGCTATTTATATTTAAAATGTGGAGAAGGAAATCATGGGATGAGAAAAACCTCTCACAATGGGACGTAAATATTTGGTTTAATTCTATGAACTGTTGGAATAAAACACCCCTTCTTATTACAGATAATAGAATACCATCTCTTCTTTGATTATACAATCTCTATTTACCTAAATTATTAGAGGCACTAGTTCACTTAAGTGAAAATAAATTTAATTTTAAATATTTACTTCTAACAGTATGGAAACATGGTTCAGGACAAAATCATAGGAAAGTGAAATTAAAATTAAAAACACTGACACCACCAAGTGTTAATGAGTATGTGAAACAACTAGAACTCTCATACATTGCTGGTGGGAGTACAAAATTGCATGAGCATCTTAGAAAACTGTTTAGCAGTTACTGAAAAAAGGTTAAATGCACATCTACACTATGGCCTAGAAATTCTACTCTTTGGCTTTTGTCTAAATTTATTTTAGAAGGAAAAAATCTCCTAAATCCTAGAACAGGGTCACAGATTCTCAGAAACCATCAAGTTTACTGCATAAGACTTCGAGTTTATTGAGGTAATCTAAAAGCTTGTCACATTGCTATGCTGAAAAATATTCTGTCAGTGAGGGGTGGGCAGGACTCTAATTCCAGCTCTGTTGCTATAAGGAGACTCCTGAGAAGGCTATGAAATCTATGGCATGGAGTCCTAAATTTCCATAAAATACTGGAATAACAAAATATAAGAAATAGTAGGATAACAAGTGGAGTTTACCCATAAATTAGAGGAAACCAGTGCTAAGTTTTAAACAAAAGCAACTGTCAAAGAGTCAATGATCCTGAAAAGAGCTAAAGAACAAGGAATATTAGGACAAATCTTAGGCAAAAGAACAACTGGGGTTGGGGAACAGACTTCCTACATATTGATTTAGGTGCTCAAGATTACAGCTGGGGTTGTGTTCTCTCTCTCCACCCCGATCCCAAACCAAAGCCAAGCAAGGTAATATGTGTAAACTTTTCTATTGTCTAACAACATTAAAAAAAACTAGAAAATAAATCATTTTGAAGGTTTTTTCAAATATGATATTAGGGCTTCAGACTACAAGTTAAAGATTAGCATTCGTTTAACATGTTAAAAGGTAAAATACATTATTCTCTTCCCCTGGGGAGTTGTAGACAGAGAAGAAGTCAGCGACTCTTGGCTGTAAACTCCACTCTCGCTGTAAGAGCTGATGTTTGGAGAGGAAGATCGGGACTGTGAGTCCACAGTTAAGTCAAGCTTCATTGCAGAATCAGGGCTTTCCAGATCAGAAGTACTACTACTCAGTTTTGCTCTTTTTTTAGCTGCACTGTTACGAAGAGACCTAAGAGAGCTCTGCATCTAAGAAAAAACAAAAAACAATGAACTTTAGAAAATAATTACATTAGTAAAAGTTATCCTCAGATTTTAATATCCATTAACTCTAGCTAGCCACCTTTCAAACATAATAAGATGGATGTTTGTAACATATCTGTACATAGTATAAATATAGATTTCATCATTTATGTATTTATAAACCCCTTAAGAGGAAGGATCTCAAGCTATTATCACCACGGTATTTCCAGCACTGGGCACAATGACTAATATATTGCAATAATTTGAATAAATGATTCATTGAATCAGAATAGATGGTAGACAGCAGAATGAGTTAAAGTCACAGAGGTCCAGCTAATCTTAGGTCAGTTACCTGCTTGTGTGGCTATTTAGAAGTTCTATGAGAAGGTCAGCAAAAAGTAATCAGTTTTCTAAAATTTAAAGTTCACATCCAGCAATCTGTACATGATACTTATATCTTAAAAGTTGGTTAAAATAAGATCATAAAATATCAACATTGAGTGTTTCACTTTACATATTTAATGTTAAAGACTTTTTAAAACCTGACACCAGGAAAACTGAAATGATAAAAAGGAAACATCAATAAAAACAGCGCTCTGAATCCAAAGTATTATAATATAGCAGCCACATTCCTTCTCTGGCATAAGTGATACGTACAGAGTTATCATATCGGCAGTACATTTTTATAGTATATATGGAGTGACCGAGGTTTCAAAGATGAATATCCAATATGATCTCAATTTTCATAAAGATAAACAAATTTGCACATATGCACAAGGGACATGCTCAAGAATGGGAGGGAACTGTTTCATTTATTTTAAAAAAGGAAACAAATATAACAAATTGTTTTTTTGGGAGGGGTTCATGCAAGAGTATATTGCTCTATTATTATTACTTTCAAAAAAGGAACAATATATGCATTGAAGAAATACTTAATGGAAACACATTAGAATGTTAACAGTAAAGTATTCTGGGTAGTGAGACTTGGTGTGATGAATTTTTTTCCTAGTACTTCACTAAAGATTCCACATTTTCTATAATAAACATGAAATATGTTCATAATCAAGAAAACATGGTATAGTATTAAAAACTACTTGATTTTTCCTTAAATAAAGGTACTCTATTACAGAAAATTACAAGCATTTTAAAATTATTAAAAATGATATTTGGTTCTAACCTCTTCTTGATCCAAATCTTTATCCCTGATATTTAATTCTGAAAGATCAATTGTAATACAATCTTTTTCACTCTTCCAAATATCATCAGGCTCTTTCTTTTTGGGTCCTACTGTGCTTAAATCAGCTTTATCAGGCAAAAGGCTGATTCCTCTTGGTATGGGAGGGACGGGCTTGGTCCCATTCAGGCCTCGTCGGGAAGATGGCGATCTCACCAAGGCAGGGGTAAGCTGAACTGAAGAAGACTTTTCCTGAGAATTTTCTCCTGTGTGAAAAATACGTATTTTAGTTTTTTTAAAAAAATTTCAGAGAAGTGGAAGTTGTAATCACAAGTGTTGGAACATAGTGTTTTTAAATTAAAAAGCACATGATCTTTTATTAGAAATAAATATTACTACTTAAAATAAAAGTATCAGTGTCCTCTAAGCAAATAACACAAAAGAGTCACCCCAAATCCTTTCATAGTAAATTAAAAAAATTATATACCAATTAAATTTCTATCTTTATACACAGCACCATGACCAATATTTGTATGGTATAGTCCATAATAAGCTACAAGGGCCACTTTTCTGGCTTGATTTAATTACATAAGCTACATTTGAAGGACTCCTATATGCAAAGCAGTAATACTGGTCACTGGGGAGAACAAGCTGAATAATGAATGTCTCAGCTTTCAATACAATATTTGATCTTGTAGGAAAGACAAATATAGAAAAAAATTAATAGAAGGACATGAACGTTCGGTGCTAACAGAAAGCGATAAAACTGACTGACTATGCATTACAGTGACCTCATGGTTATAAACTGAAACATTAGTGTTGTGGGGTAGTTTACAGGTGGAACTTCTCACCTCAGAGGCTGGGGATAGGAAAGCATGTGGGACATAGGGGTTTCTTTTAACAGACTTTTTATTTTGAGACTGAATCTGTATTGATTAAATTTATATGCTAATTTCATGATTTTGGAGTGGGCTATTGTTAAGAATATTTTAGTTAAAATAATAGAAAACCCATCAAAATAATTTTAACATATATTAAACATTCAATAAATGTTTAATAAATGAATACTAGATATTAATTATAGTAAATATGTGAATGATATTTTATATTTGTAAAGCTAAAATTTGTTAGTAGGCTCTCAGGCTGTTTATGTTCCTGTCCATTATAAAGATTATTTGTCTAGTTCCAAAAAAAAGATTTTGAAGTGGCAAGATCAGCAAAAAAAGAAATGACAATTTCAACAGAATTTTATATTACACATTTGATCTATTTAACACACTGTTAAATATTTTCCTAAATATTTACTAATGCACAGAAAAAAAATGCAATTTACCAGCTTTGTAAGATCTAACAATCCTAAAATCAAAATAATTCAAACATATGAATAAATTTGAACAAATTTTTACCATCATTTCTTCCTGTAGGGCCAGATGATTTCTGGATGACAAGCTTTTTCTGAGGACTTGGCTTTGATAGTCCTTCAAAGCTTTTAAGAGGCCAGGAATTTGAGAAATTGACAGAATTATCTTGAGACTTCTTTGGGGATACAGTAAGAGGTGTGTGCTTTGGGCTAGTTCGAGGTGATGAGAGAGGATAGGATGGAAGGATGAAGGCTCCTGGACTTGGATTTGGACCAGAGTATGATGAAGTACGTTCCATTTGACTACCAAATGTTTGCTGTGTCTTACTGCCAAAATTTAGGCTAGCATACACTGTAATAAAACAAAAGAAAATACGTTATTTATTTATATATATACACACACACACACACACACACACACACAACTTCTAAGAGTTTTAGGTTTTTTGCTTTTCACATTAAGGATTTTATTTGATCTGGCATTTACATTTTTGTATGGTGTGAGGTAAAGACCTAATTTAACATTTCTTATACAGATTACAGTTTTCCCAGTGCTGCTTTTTGAACCATCCATTTTTTTCCCTTTTGTCTATAAATCTCCTATATATTATTTGAGGCTATTCTTAGATACTTCTTATTGGTTCCATTAGTCTATACCTATTACAATGTTTTATTTATAATCATTCTATCTGACAGGATAAGTCCCCTTCCATTTTGATCTTCTTTAAATTATCTAGGCCATTCTTGGCCCTCCATTCTTTCATGTCAATTTCAGGATCAGCCTGTCAGGGTCTATGAAAGATCCTGTTGGGATTTTTGTTCAATTGACATTGAATTTACAGATTAACCTGGCCATAACTGTCATTTTCCTTGTACTGAGTCTCCCTGTTGAAAAATATGGGATCTCTTGGGCCGACCAAGTGACTTGTTGGTTAAGAGTTGGCTTGGGAGCATGAGCTCTGAGCAGCAGGGCCGCCGGTTCGGATCCCATGAGCCAGTGACGCCGTGTCCTCTACAGCTAAAGATGGTGAAAAACAGCTCAACCTGGAGCTGGGCTGCAGTGGGCTGCCATAAGCTACCGTGAGTGGGCGGAAGCCAGCATGAGCGGCCAGCAGCCAGTGTGAGCTGCAGTGAGCTGCCATCCAATGGCCAGTGACTGATCTGCCTCACCGGGAAGAGCGCAATGATCACAATACCAACATGGGCCAGTGAAGCGACATCCTCCACAACTAGACTGAAGAACAAAAGGACAGCAACTTGTCTGTT